TCACTGCCTACGGTGCAGAGTTGGATGATGTGGATGTGTTGAGTGCCATGAAGGGTGTGAAGTTGGCGCCCAGTGGCTTCTCGGCCGGTCTGCCTGTGATAGATCCGAAGACGATGCGCACCAATCTGCCAGATGTGTGGTGTGGTGGTGACTTGACCGGCTTTGCGCACACTAGTGTGGAGGCGACGAATGATGGCAAGACGGCAGCATGGAGCATACATAGCACTCTGTTGGGCGAGCCGGACATCCCAATGACTCTGCCACGTTTCACGACACCAATCGATGCGGTGGATGTGTCGGTGGATGTGTGTGGTGTGAAGTTTGAGAATCCGTTCGGTCTGGCCTCGGCGCCGCCGACTACGTCAAGTGCTATGATCCGTCGTGCCTTCGAGGCGGGTTGGGGCTTTGCAGTGACAAAGACCTTTGGCCTGGATAAGGACCTAGTGACCAATGTGTCGCCTCGTATTGTACGTGGTCCCACGGGAGGCCACCTGTATGGACCGGATCAGTCGGGTTTTTGCAACATAGAGTTGATAAGTGAGAAGACGGCAGCCTACTGGATACAGAGCATAAAGGAGCTGAAACGCGACTTTCCGGAGAAGAGGGTGATAGCGAGCATAATGGCGAAGTTTGATGAGGCTGACTGGCGCGAACTCACGGAGCGCGCGGTGGCGGCAGGACCGGATGCACTGGAGTTGAATCTGTCGTGTCCTCATGGAATGGGAGAGCGGGGCATGGGGATGGCGTGTGGTCAGGATCCACGGCTGGTGCATGACATCTGCAAGTGGGTGAAGAGTGCGGCGGGACCGGGTATGCCGGTGTTTGCAAAGCTGACGCCCAATGTGAGCGACATCCTGGACATTGCACGTGCTGCTCAGGAGGGAGGAGCGGATGGGGTGACAGCCATCAACACGGTGTCGGGTATAATGCACTTTGACAGTGACTCCTCACCATGGCCACGTATTGGCAAGGAGCGACGCACTACCTACGGTGGTTTGTCGGGCAATGTGGTGCGACCGATGGCGCTGCGAGCGGTGAGTTGGATTGCAAAGAAGATGCCTGGCTTTCCCATCCTTGCCACGGGTGGCATCGACTCGGCAGAGGCGGGCATGCAGTTCCTACAGGCTGGTGCCTCCATTTTGCAGGTACAACTCATCGCCATTCTCCTTCACTCCCTGCCCTTCCCATTCCCAGTCCTCCCCCCACCTACAACCTAAATTCTCCTCCTCTTCCTCTCCTTCATTCTCTAATTGGTTTGAGGGCGACATTCTTGCTCACAGTGGCGATCGCCTCGACTATACTACCGCCTTTTTACTGATTGTAGGTGTCAAGTGCTATTCAGAACCAGGACTTCACGATCATCGAGGATATGGTGACTGGACTCAAAGCTGCTCTCTACTTGGATGGTCGTGAAGGTGGGTTTGCCTATTGTCCGCCTACCTAAATTCCCTCTTTCAATACTATTCAACTAAGTTGAAAGACGAAGAGCTGAGGTAATTTGGTGTTTGTCCTGCTATAACATTAATGCCGCCTCTAATTTAAGCCCGCATTTGCGGAAATATGGGGAAAGGAGAACGAGAACACAGAGAGTCGGCGTGGCTGGTGGAGATGGAGGTGGAAGAGCTAATGAAAGTTGGCCCAGTGGTTTGGAATCTGGTCATTCGGTAGCTGCTGTAGCTACCACCTACCAG